GGAACCGACTCTCTTGAAGACCCCTAAATAGCACTGGCGAAATTATTTAGGGCCCTGCATTATCCCTCCAACGTTCGTGAGGAGATCAACAAGTATCTGAAAGACGATACGCCTGCCTTGAGCCCAAGAGAAAGACTTTTTCTTAGGGGGTTTTAGGGTTAGGGAAAGGACCCAACCCAACAATTAGGTACTTAGGTTGCGGATCGTAGTTATGTGGTAAGGCTAACATGGGGTTTAGATTTTGGGGTTTAGTTTGTATACGGTCTAGGGTTTAGGGTTCAGCTGTTTGCGGGTTCTGTGTGACTCCAATTGCATATTGGTTTTGAAGTTTGAGCTTATCAATGTGGGGATGGGCTATTCTTCAGAGTTTGAGGCTAGAGGTATATACCTAAACCCTAAACCGTAAAACCCTAAGCCCTAAATCCCCAGAGCCCGCACCCCTGCTAAACCCCTGAACCCGTCAACTAGGGTTTAGGGGTTAGGGTAAGGACTTGTATGAGGAAATCATAGGAACGAACCTTTAAAAAGGCAGGCTTGATTGGATCCAGGTCGGTTTGCGGACAGCTTTGTGCTGTACGGGCTTAGTGGGCTCGCAGTCTACGCAGGGTGAGTCCTTCGTACTACGAGTCCATGAAATTGTTCCTATGATTAGGGTATACAGTGCATCTGCTGGATAAGAAATGCCAGCTTCCAGCGTTGGGTACCCTTCATTTCTTAGCTTCCTTTCAGGTTCACATTTCCGCATTTCTCAGCCCCCCAATCGTTGGGTACCCTCGTTCGAGCCATGGAAGTTTATCAACTGAGCTAAACCCCTTAACCATTAGGCCAGACAGACACCGCACCAAAATAAGAAACCTAGCCCCCTACATTTCCCTACATTTCTTATTTTGGCTCCTGCCGTGTGCCCTAGGCTTAGGGCTTGGAAACCAGCCAAAAAGGAAGCGTGGCACCCTACATTTCTTATTTTGGCTCCTGCCGTGTGCCCGCCCTAGGCTTGGGGCTTGGAAGCCAAAATAAGAAACCTAGCTCCCTACGTTTCTCATTTTGGCTCCTGCCTTGTGCCCGAGACTTAGGGCTTGGAAGCCAGCCAAAATAAGAAACCTAGTTCTTATTTTGGCTCCTGCCGTGTGCCCCAGGCTTAGGGCTTGGAAACCAGCCAAAATAAGAAACGTAGCCCCCTGCATTTCTGCCGCCTTGTGTCCTAGGCTTATAGGGCTTGGAAACCAGCCAAAATAAGAAACCTAGCCCCCTACGTTTCTCATTTGTGCCCGAGACTTAGGGCTTGGAAGCCAGCCAAAATAAGCAACCTAGTTCTTATTTTGGCTCCTGCCGTGTGCCCCAGGCTTAGGGCTTGGAAACCAGCCAGAATAAGAAACGTAGCCCCCTGCGTTTCTTATTTTGGCTCCTGCCGTGTGCCCTAGGCTTAGGGCTTGGAAACCAGCCAAAATGAGAAACGTAGCACTCGACATTTCTTATTTTGGCCTCTGCTGCATGTTGTAGTGTCACGACCTGGAAAACCACAGAAATAAGAAATGATTTTAAAACGTTGGGTACCCTTCATTTCTTAGCTAGAAGACAGTTTAAGATTTCGTTTTTTTGGTGCTGTCCGGCTGANNCTTATCCAATCGTTTCTTGTACAGTGATTGGACTGTAACTACTATACCCCGAAACATTATTGAACATGTTAAGGCCCCTACACTAAACCCATCTAAATCCCTTCAAGTCACGCGTTAAGTTGGCACTCCAAGAGCCCTGATTGCATTACTAAGGCCCACATATTATACTCTATCATAGTTGGGTAGCATTTTACATGTTTCTGAGTAGTTAAACTGAATAAATAGGGAGTAGAAATTTAAATGTTAAACACTGTCCCAACCTTGATCTATACATATACTGGGTGACCTGCAACGCAGAAGATGTGGGGTTCGTTCCTAGAAGGAGTGTCGAAACTTATGGTTCCGAGAAGGTGAAAGACTTCCAGCATTGGGTTTCCGTCTGTTTCCATGGGTGTAGGGCCTCACGCAAGGATGCCAAGAGCATCTTTAGATAGAGCTTTCTTAGTTCCTTTTTAAGGGTACTGTAGAGTTTTATATTAGGGTCCCTGTTGAAGGGTACTATAGGGTTCTTTCATAGGGTTCCAGTTAAAGGAACCCCTAAAGGGTCCCTTAAAGTTCTGAGTATGTAAATTTGAATCTTAGAGTTCGGGCACTTCTTCCCTACACCGAAGTTTAAAAAGTTTACCCTAACCCCCAACACCTAAACCATGCAAGCTCTGCGAACCCTGAGCCCCATACTTATAAACCCTTCTTTCTACTAGCCCTGAACCCGCAACCTTGAACCTCATATGGGTGGTTGTCAAAATTATGGTCCCTTTTTGGGTCCTTATTGTAATACGGCACCTATTATTTAGGGTACCCCAAAAGGGACCCTAATTTTGACAACCACCCTTTTCCTGGACCCTAGACCCTGGGTCGAAGATGAAGGCCAAAAGCTGACGGCCTTAGGCACTACCCAAAGGCCCTAAAGTAGTTCCTTTTGGGGGTTCATATATAGAATCCTATAACGTAATCCCAAAAAGGAACTACTATAGGGCCTGTGGGTAGACCTCCAAAATGCACAAATCCTCAATCTGAAACCGGAACCCTTCGGCACCCTGCGCGCAACCAACAGCTGAAAGTCAAAGAGCCTTATAAGCCTAAACCCCTAAACCCCTAAACCCGGAACCCTAATATACCCCAATACCTCAACCTACTCAAGGCCCAATGCCTCGACCCAATGGACACCGTAAAGCCACTCCTTGCCCGAAAGACCTTGCCCTTACCGGATAGACTTGATAAAGGCACCTGCAGAACCTCAATTAAAACCCGATCGAGGTGCCTGCACAGATGTTGGCTCCGCATGCTGGGCAGAGGAACGGATTCTGGATTTGCGTTCTGAATCCTAAATAATTTCGGTGACTCCTCAAGGAGTTCAACTCTATGGTGTAAGACTGCCCACAACCAGGCCCCCGCGTTTATCAATGTTATGCACTTGGTCGTTCGAGCATTGCTGCTGCTACTCTTCTTCATGCTGCCGTATTTCGTGCTCAGCGGTGTCGCCGTGGTTGCTCGTAGCTTTCACAGGTCCTTGGAGCTTTTCACGTCCATGGCATTCTTATGGAGCCTCACAGTCAGATTGGTTCTTGTCTGTTCGTGGTGTGGTCTTCTAGAACCAAGGTGCGAGGAATGGTTGCATGATCTGTTGGGATGATCGTGTACACCCCAAAAAGGCCCTTGCCTCCCCGAACCTGAGGGTCGGACTACTTAGATAGTCGTGCCGTCGTGCCCCTTGTTCTCCCTATAGAATCATAGTACACTATACCCCGATGCTCGAATTTTGAGCTCCCCTGTATCATAGAACCCTTGAGGTAACCCCTATATGGAACCAAAGGAACCCTCAAAGGAATCCTGTTCTAATCATTGAGGCCCTTACCCCATAGAATCTAGAACCCGTCTAGGGCCCTTACAGCCCTAAAAAATCCCCAAAGCCGGAAACCCTATACTCCAAACCCCCTATAAGCCTTAAGCCCTACCTAGACCCCAAAGAACCTACCTGGTTAGGGGCTTTTAAAACGAAATCATAATAAGGAGCCCTAAAAAGGAAGGTTGTTTAGGGTCCCTAAACCCTAAACCCTAAACCCCAGGGTGCATGGCCCCAAGTCCACAAGCCGAAGAGGAAGCCGCTACCTGGAGATGTTGCATCGCTGCTGCGGATTAATCGCCACGAGGTGCTCGTGGGTTTTAGGGTTTTAGGGTTTAGGGCCTAGGGTCTGAAGCTTTGGGGTTTAGGGTTTAGGGTTTAGGGTTTTGAGGTTTTTCGGATCCAGGGTTTAGGCTAGGCTCCTGGTAGAACCTTTTTGCCTTTTTCTCTCTGGATTCCCTGTTTATCAGCCCTTAACTCCAAACCTTAAACTCCTCATTGTTAAGGGGCTACTGAGGAGCCTAGGGTTCGAGGTTGTTGAGGGTGTAGGGTTTGGGGTGGTTTAGGGTTTGGGGCTTCGAAGTCAGGAGAGGCGATAGTTCTGTGGAACTCATGTTTGGGGAAGCTTAGGGTTTAGGGTTTAGAGTTTAGGGTTTAGGGTTGAGGGGTTTAGGGTTTAGGGATTAGGGTTACGGGTTTAGGGTTCATCGTCATGATGATGAACACAACCATAAAAACAAGACACTTCAGCAATATACACGTCACATCATGACGTTTGTCATAACCATTATCAGGATGGTCATTTGCAACATCGCGATCACAGTCGTCTTGTTCTATCTCACGATCGACATTGTCAGCATAGCCGTCCAAATCTTTGTCACCATTGCCAGAAAGACCAATACGACAGAGCACTGTTCCTTTGTGTCCCAGCACGGTCTGAGAAATCAGAGACCCTGCTGCTGATGGACACCTGGAAGTTTGCACAACGCTCGCTGTTTTGTCTGGGTCCCAAGCAGATGAATGCACGAAGTAGGAACACCGAGCTGCACAGAACATTTGTGGTCTTGAGCCTACTTCTCTCCCTTATCGCAATTGCTCGTGCCTGCGGACTGTTACCACCAAAAACTCTATCCTACGACAGGGCATCAAACCGTCAAGCATACCTCTGGAATGCTCGATCTGCTCGATCGAAGCTCTGCGCCAGGCACGGGTGCTGTCATCGAAAGCGCGCGCGCCGTACATGGTCATGATGGAGGCAACCGGCAAGTGCTTGCGTTAAAGCTTCATGAACAGTTGAACCCAAACTCCTACCTCTCACGACTGGTTGATCGATTAGGGTTTAGGGTTTAGGGGTGATTCAACTTGATCCAGAATACCGTTTAGGGTTTAGGGTTTAGGGTTTAGACCCTAAACCCTAAACACTAAACCCTAAACCCTAAACGCTGAGTGCTCTAAGAGCCTGCATCCGACTGAAACCCTGTTCCTTGGCTCATTGGCAGTGAGGACTGTGCCAGTAGCGGTTTAGGGTTTAGGGTTTAGGCCAGGCCTCCGAAGCATGATAACATGCATACATGGGTAGTTCTCTAAATTAGGGTCCCTTTTAGGGTCCACATATGAAGGGTGCCGTAGTATGTTGGGGACCCTAATTTAGAGAACTACCCACGTACAGATCCCAAAACGCTTCCCGCGGCACAATGCTCCTCAAACTAGCTTGCGGCAAACTTCCGGCCGTGGCTTGAGAGACATTTTGAGTGGTACTGTGCCCCCTGAGTGTTTTCAATGAGACCCGAAGCCAAAGAAGCGTCAGCTCGAGAGTCGAACACCCTAAACTTGGTCTCCCAGTGGGTCCTTGCTCTTTTTGTGGTCTTTGGTTCCTTATACAACTGCCACCAAAACGGTAGCCCTTTTATTCCAAAAAATCCTGGAGATCCGAGCAAAGCGCACACCCCAAAGAGCTCCCAAAACCCCGAATATCCTGAAGCCCAAAAGCCCGGAAGCCCGAAACCTTAGAGCTCTGCGTCCCAAACCCTCGGAACCTAAAGCCCTGGAGCCCACGAGCTTTGACACCTCTGTACTCTCATCGTTGTTGCCTTTACCACTGTCGTCATAGCTTGCATAACTTGCTCTACTACCCTTGCAGTATGATGAAAGCCTACCTGTGCCGCAAATGTCCCACCATGTTCAGGACTTATATGAAGAAACCATAATAAGGAGCCTTAAAAATGACGCTCCGGGTAAACCTCAGCCCGAGACCGCAGTCCCTGAACACAAAAACATACGCCCTGGAACGATCGACTCCCAAACGCGTCTGTGGCGCACGCGTCTTGCGCCCCTTCTTGCTTTGAGTGTACTTCGCTGTGATGTACCCCACAACTCTCCTGTAGGGGCCAACATAAGTTTTGGGCTTCCATACTGTAAGTATAGAAGTAGAATATACCCCAAAACCCGATTACAATTATTAAGGCCCCTCTGTTAGCCCTCAAACCGGATAAACCCTCAACGCAGAGACCCGAAACTGCAGAACCCTATAAGCCCTGACCCGAAATGCGGAACCCTACACCCCCCAAAACTCTCCCCAAACCCTCAAGCCCTTAGCCCAACAAAGCCTTGGGGGGCACGCAGACAGAAGTGCTAGGAGAGCCCTAGAGCCATGGATCCCGCCCTTCAGCCATGTTTAGGGTTTAGGGTTTAGGATTTAGGGTTTAGGGTTTAGGGTTTAGGATTTAGGGTTTAGGGTTTAGGGTTTAGGGTTTAGGGTTTAGGGTTTAGGGAACTTTTGAGAGCCCTAGAGCCATGTAACCCTGAGGTAGAAGAGAAGCAGTTGACCTCAAACAGTCCGGGTCGACCCGGGCATACGGCTCAGAGAGGGTGCAAGGGCTTAGGATCTACCCTGATATACCTTGGGGGGGCAGGCTTTATGCTTAGAGCCTCAACCAAGGGGTTTCAAGGCTTTAGGATGGTATGGGGGCATTCAGGTGCTGCAGCCTGGTTTGGACTTTTCGATTTTAGGCTCCATGTGAGAGTTTCAGAAAATTGGGGTACCTTATTTGGGGGTCCTTATAATAGGGATCCTATTATTTAAGGTACTATATTAGGGTCACCTATTTTCGGAACTCCCCATGTAGCTGTTTGGTGAGTGTATGCCTTGCTCCTCAGAATATTGATGAGACGATTTTTCTTGTGAGGCGAAAGCTTCGGGATGCTAGCAATTGACACCCTACATCCTCTAAAGATCGGTTTAGAAGGGCTGTAACCCTAAACCCTAAACCCTAAACCCTAAACGTAGCGCGCTAGTGTAAACTGTTACTGGATGGGGGCAGTGCCCAGGCTGCTTGGTTTGAAATGGCTTAAAATAGATCAGGCCGGAGGTTCACTGCATTAGCCAATTTAGGGTTTAGGGTTTAGGATTTAGGGTTATTGTTTAGGGTTAAGGGTTTTTTTGTGAACTCATTGGCATGCTTGCCCCTTTAACCTTCTAATTCAGGAACCTGACTAAGAAACCCTGGCCCTATTTACACCAATATATTCGGATTCATACAAGGAACCCTAATAAAAATCCAGGGATTCTTTAATCAGGTCCCCTTACTGTCGTGTTTTAGGGACCTGAGACCTTCCGCCATACCTCGCAACCGAGCCAGGTGGCACAAGACTTGTAGGACGGTTGAATCTGGAGGGAAAGGCTTAGCCTTTGGGGTGGGGTTTAGGGTTTAGGGTTTAGGGTTTAGGGTGTAGGGTTTAGGGTTTAGGACGGTTGAATCAGGATAAACCCGAAGCCACGCTGCACCCGAAACAGACACCCTGAGCCCTAAACCCCTAAACCCTAGACCCTAACTAAACCTTACTTACTTACATTCTACACCCTGAACCCTAAACCCTGACTGAACCTTACTTACTTACATCCTACACCCTAAACCCTAAACCCCTGACTAAGCCGTACTTACTTACATCCTACACCCTAAACCCTACACCCTAAACCCTAAACCCTAAACCCTAAACCCTAAACCCTAAACCCCACTTTAAAAGCTAAGCCTTTCCTTCCCAAGTCACAGCAGCCTCCGAGGCTTCTGAGGCGGCTATGCGGAGGACGAAAGTCGCCGGGAGCCTAGGGGTTCAGGGGTTCTGGGGAGCGAGGGTTTAGGGGTTCAGGTTGGGGTTTTAGGGGTTTAGGGTTCAGGGGTTTTGGGAAGGGAGGGTTTAGGGTTCAGGGTTTTTTCGGGGGTTTGGGGTTTTAGGGGTTTAGGGTTCAGGGGCTTTGGGGAGGGAGGGTTTTAGGGGTTTAGGTTTTTGTTTTTTGCGGGGTTTGGGGCATAGAGGTTGTGGGTTCAGGGTTTGTTCAGTTTTTGGGAGGGAGGGTTTAGGGTTTAGGGTTTTTCCGGGGGTTTGATGTTTTATGGATTTTGGGTTTAGGGTTTGTTGGGGGTTTGGGGTTTAGGGGTTTAGGGTTTTTTCCGGGTTTGGGGTTTAGGGTTTGTTGGGGTTTAGGGGTTTGGGGTTTAGGGTTTTTGGGGGTTAGGGGTTTAGGCGTTTGGGGTTTAGGGTTTTTTGGGGTTTGGGATTTAGGGGTTTTGAGTTTAGGGTTTTTTGGGGTTAGGGGTTTAGGGGTTAGGGGTTCAGGGGTTTGGAGTTTAGGGTTTTTTGGGGTTTAGGGTGTTTAGTGGTTTGGGGTTTGGGGTTCAGGGTTTTTGGGGGTTTGGGGCTTAGGGGTTTAGGGTCTAGGGTGTAGGACCCTAAGCCATACGAATTTTGGTGTTTGTTGAAAGGGTCTTAACAGAGCTTCACAGGCTTACGGGATGATAGCCTATTGAGCTTATAATGTTTTGATTTGTCCCATGGGTGGTTTGCAGTCCTGGTTGTCCAATACTAAGGTTCGATCTTCGGTGCTTAGGTATTGAGGAACCTAAACCCTAAACCCTAAACCGATCCTTACAGGAGTACAAGGGATCCTTGGGGAGACTTGCGGGAACCTTAAGGGGTACTAGGGCCTAGGGAGAAGTGGGGGCTTGGTCGGTTACCTACCTCCCTTGGGCCCACTCCCTTAAGTCTGTCTTGCACGCCATCCTCACTGCTAAACCGGCGAAGATGTTTCGGAAGCTAGGGCAGGATGTTTCAGGAATATGTGCTGCCATCATGCGCTGCCATCATGCGTGCTTTGACGTGAGACACCTGCATGACACAAGGAGAATCTGTCAGACATCCACTGAAACTTCACACTGTAGACGAGCTGCCATGCCAGCAAGGATGAGCTAAGATTGGGATGAAATTGCTGCTGTCGGGCATGCTACAGGCAGCCGAAAGTATCGCTGTGCCATCGTGACGATATTGTTGTTGTTGCTGCGCAGGGGTGCAATGGACGAGTATTCATCTTCATCGTTGTGTCTCAAGGTATCATGTGTTTCGGGCACTGGCTATCGAACCACTTAGTCTATCCATATTGGTTGTCATGACGATGCGAATCCACAGCGATGTTAATGATGGTGTGGTTAAGTACTCCTTGCGATGTTTGTGGTGCTGCTCATCATGTTGCCCAATGATGTAAGCTGTCGAAGCAGTTCATCAATGTCGGAGGAGTGGGAAAATACGGTGCAAACATGTGTATGTGCCGAACCCCGAAGAAGTGGCAATAAAGCTACTTCTGGTTGCATTCTGCTGAACCCTAAACCCCAAAGCCCATAGAAAGAAGCAGAAACCCACTTTCTCCATCCCAGGCCTGTCCAGGCGACCCACCATTTCGCTGCAGGCGCCGTCATCGACTGTGTGTTCGAGCTTTGCAAGCTCACGCTTTTGGGTTTAGGGCTTTTGACCTAACCCTAACCCCTGAACCCTAGACCCTAAACCCTTAAACCCTAAGCCCTAAACCCTAAGACCTAAACCCTAAACCCAGAACTCGCAACCTTCCAACAAGGAAGAGAGGGAGATCCCGGAAATAGAAGCGAACGACTCCCCGGGTCCTAGGTAGGCGCTGTAGGAAACCCGAGGAGTTGAGTCGGCAACCTCTAAGCCTATGGGCGTTGTAGAATTTTTAGGGCTTTAGGGGTTTAGGG